TTGGTGGCTGACTAAATACTTTTTTGACCCACTGTATATGTCATGGATTGTACTGCATGTTGTTTTATCAGTCAGTTAATAGCTAAACAATTCTTATTATCTGGGTCAGATTTTAATTTATTAAAAAACAAGTCCTTACTCCATTCAAGTCTTTTCTCCTTTACTTGGCATTCAAAACCGCAGTAGAAATCGGAAAGAGCAGTAACAGTAGTAAGCCAGGAGATACAATATGTCCGCCTCATGTTCTGACAATATGGGTAAACCAGTTTGCTTGAAATCTCAGTTTCCTATATTTCAGGACTGTGTTCCTGTGTTTTTTTTCTAAGGACTACTGGCTTCATGCCTTCTAAAGTTAAAATATGATTTTTTTGCTGTTATTCATATGCCAGTGTAATTAATCTATTTGATTAAAAAAACACACACAATTGACTTAAATTTATTTAACATAGTAGAAGCCCAAGGAAGGGGTAAAAAAGTAGGAGTGGAAACTTGAAAAAATACAGTACAGTACATGGCATGTCACAGGGAGGTATATGTGCTGTTTCTGAAGATTGGCTATGTATTCTGTACTAAATTATACAAGTGAAAATTTGGGCTGAAATGAGAGCTTCATTGATGCAGACAAGCAGCAGAAGAAATTGGGAGAAATTATGTGCTGGAATGCAAAATGGAAAGAGAAAAGATTGTTTCAGTAAACTCCCCTTGCTTCAAACTGTGTGTTTAAGAATTCTTGTAGGGTTTGCTTAGCCAAGGGAAGCAAACAACTTAAAAAGAATGTTACTTCAACAGAGTTCCACAGACAGGACATCCTTAAAATAATTTGTACTTAGACATCTAAAACATGTGAGAAACTACTAGATTAAAAATGCTTGAAATACTTATTTTCTTTTTAAAAGTAGTCAGGATGATGTAATTTCATGAAAATAATGTTGGGGGTGGGGAAGGGACATCAGAAAACCCCTTACTTTTTAACTATTGCCTCCTGTTCTGGGAGATGAGGAAAAAGAAATGGCCTGACAGACTTTCCCTTTTTAATCAAGTTAAATATTGCTACTGGCAATCCAGTATAAAACGAAGGCAAAGTAATTCCAACTCTGACAGAATTATGTTTTTAAACCCTAATCCCAAATGCCTGGAGATGTTTCATTGGAATGGTTTTGGTCCTGTTAGGAGAGCACCGCACGGACCCTCTTCACAAACTGGCTCGGTGCAAGTCAAGCTCGTAATTAATTGTTTTGTTGCAAGGCACTTCAAATGATGGTAACAATGTAATTACAGCTCAGTATTTATCTTCTTATTAAATGTTAACCTGAGGGATGAAACATTGCTATCTTGGCTAGCCCCTGTATTTTCTTGTCAGCAGTTCCTTTAAAATGTTATCTTTAAGTAGGGTTTTGCACACTCTGAAAATGCTATTTTTATTTGCCATTCATGACATTTCTGTTATTTATTACAAGAGTTCCACTTTTTTCAGGCTTGACCAAAGATGCCACTGCTTTAAGAGTCTTATGGATTCCTTAAGCAGCATGTTTTCCAGGCAGAGGGCTGAAAAATGTCAGGTTGCTTTAATGAATACCACAGAGGCACTACACTTGCCCAAGATCAGAAGAATTTCTTCTGAATCCTTTCTGAAACGTGTGCATCTCTAGCCTTTAGTTCAGCCCCAAGTCTATTGTAAGTCAATTGGGCCTGAAATACAAATGATATAATCCTTTGCTTCTTTTCATTTTATATTCTGAACAGAGACGACTAGGTCTCAGTGTATTAGGTTGTGGGAAGTACGTGAATCTTCCAGTAGCCTGGACTGAGGCAATCATATTATCACAGTGCAAAGGAGAAATTAGTGAAGGTATGTAGCTTTTTCATTTTAATTGATACATGTTTTTTTCTTTTTGCCAAACAAATGCTGCCAAATTATGAACACAGGCACCTCGTTTTAATAAACTATTTGGCGGAAGGAGGGCTGTTATGTTTGTTTGTTTAATATAAAAATATATCATTAGCTAAGATACATCAACATGCTATTTGAATAATGATGTCATTATGCAAATGATTTGAATGGATGCAAATGACATCATTTGCTTAATGTGAAAAATGATGCCATTGCACAAGAAGTAAATCACCCAGATATTGTAAAATTAAGATAAATTAATATAAGTTTAACTGCCTTGTCTGGACTAATTGGATGGAATGTATCCTTTATTTTGGGGGGGGGGCACCTAGAAAGAAATTTATTCTGTTGTATTCAACATCCACTAAATGTGGTGTTATTAAATCACCATTTGCTATGGGTAAAGCTCTTTCTTCCCCCAGATAGAATATGCTATCCCTAAGATGGGTGTCAGATTTTGCATCAAGTGTTTTGCTCTTAGAATGATTGCAATGGCTCATGCTAGGACATTCTTACATTATTTTAAACTATGGATGCACAACCAGAGGCCTAAAGGCTGTGTGAGGCCCTTGTAACCTTGAATGTGACCCCCAAACCTCTTCCCAAAGTTGCTACCAATGTTTAGTTTTTTATGTGGCAAAAAGTGAAAAGTGAAACACATGGGGTTCAATCAGCAGGAATAATTATAATAAAAGTATCTGATTTGATCTAATATGATGTATGTTTTACTGGGCTCACTCACTTTTTATATGGTGGCCCCAGCTCACCACTCAAAATGCAGCAACACGGTAGGAACTGGTCTTGACTCACCATTTAATTCAAGAAGGAGGAAGAGGAGAAGGCACCCAAAACAGGCATATCTCTTTTTCAGGCCATTCATCAGTTAAAGGTACAAAGCTTTTGCCCTAGTCTTTTGGCCAGGAATCTTCTGTTCCTACATGCATACAGGCAGGCATGTTATTGCTAGACCCTGCTTTAAATGATATTCATGCTAAAGTGGCCTGCACATATAAGCATTTGTTTTTGTTACCTGGAAAACAACTATTTCAAACTCATTAATTTGAGGAAAATTAACCCTGACTTTCACTTAAAATTCACAAATAACAGGAAGTAAAATTGTCAACAAGCACATTCAGTTTCACAACTAATGGGGAATAATGAGTACAGATAAGCATTAGTGTTCAGATTAACAAATATACTTAATGCATACAGGCAAACCAGAAAGCACAGAGAAAAAAATAAGTGAAACAACTGGTGCTAATAGAAGAAAAATTACTCAGCATGACCACTTGTTAGCAAATAAACCTGTACATAATTCTAATTATTTTAACTAATAGAAATGATGGAGAAGAAGGAGATAGTGTTTAGCATTTATAGTAGGAAATAAATCACTGGGATAATTTTCAATATTGGTTGGTTTGTCTTCCCAGTAGAAACTTATTTGTAAGAGAAATGAGTTGGGATACTATATCTGGGCTGCAAAAATCTGGACAATCATGAGAAAGCTGAAAAAGTACATAAAAATGTTAAGGTTTTGCTGCCATCTAGTGGACATCTGTGTTTCTGCCGTTCAGATATAGTAGCCCTAGAAAAGGGGAACATGGGGCAAAATAGAGTTAGAAAGGGAAAATGAAGGCAATAGCAAAAGAATGGGTTATAACTACCTATCCCTGGCAGGCACCAAAAAAGCAGTGCAAAACAAAAACACCTGGTTGTACCACATGCTGAATCAAGTAAGTGTTTTAGGATGATAAAAGACTTCTAATGATAAGTGGATCCTTTCTGGTCCAGAGACCATAAAATGGGTTAAAGAAAGAAGCAACTTACTCTGGCCCTAGATATAGGAACTAGGCACAAGACTAGAAAGGAAACCATGCTAGGCGTAGTCACCAGAACCAAGTGAACCTGGGCTCAGTTTTTTTAAGTCTGTGTATGCTGAGAATGTAAGCAAAGAGACAGCAAAACAGTTGAATCAGGGATTGTCCAAAGAAAAGAATAATGGTTGCTTGAACTCAAAAGTGTAGGATTTCAGGTATTGCCAGAATTCACCCAGTGCATTAAGATAAAATGTAATTCAGAATGACTTAGCATGTTGTATGAATATAGTCACTGGGTTTGTAAACTGGTTTATGACCAGCTATGGTTTATGCAGTAAACCATGGTTGAACAAATTATGTCTGAAGTTGTATGAACTAGCTTAAATACTGTTGTTAAAGGCTTAGAAATTTTTGCCCAGGATTACAGTGGTCCATGACAAATAACCCATGATTTATGGGTAGAAATTCAGCCTTACTTCATTGCCTTCACGTTTCTCTAAAAAATGGATAGATAGTTAGAAACAATAAGATATAATAGAAACTACTCCTGTGGCTCTTGTGTTGCTCTGAACTTTAATGACCATGACAGAGTTATACAGAGGTTATAAAACACTGTATTTGTTTTTTTTTAACTAAGGCTATAGACTGGCCAGTTCAAAAGTTATCCAAGGTGGTATCTCTTAATGAGGAATACAGTGCATAATTTTTCTAATGTGGGAGAATTTCCCTGATCCTCATTTGGGAAGGATGTAGGGAGGCACCTCTTCTTAATTCAGTTACCTATGGAAGTATCCAGACAAAAACACAAATCAAATGGAAATCCTTACTCAAGGTCTTTGAATAATGTGAACAAAACATAAGACACTGAAATATAGTATATTGTACACATCTGAGCACCTTTCTGTTGATTTGGACATGGAATAAAAGTTGGATACTTGGATACCATACTGTAAAAATTCTAAGTTATATTCATTTGCTAACGAAATTTCATTTGAATTTGAATATTTGAAAATAAAACACATTTTGGGGAAAACATCTGGATTTCTCTGTTTTCTATAAATTTATGATAGCTATCTGTTGCTCTCAGGTTCCCTCCCCTTAAATAATTGATTCAGATGGAACTTATATAAACTGGCAATGCTTTTATAACTCCTCCCTCCCTTTATTTCCTATTACAGATAGTCCTTGCTTAACGACCATTCGTTCAGCAACCGTTCAAAGTTACAATGGCACTGAATGGAGACTTACAACCCGTACCTGAAGTTATGGCGATCTGGGCCCTTGGCAACTGGTTCACCCTTACGACTGGTTGTCATGTGATCGCCATTTGCAATCTGCCTTGCTGGCTTTCCCCAGAAAGTCAATGGGGAAGCCAGCAGGGAAGGTTGCAAGCCGCTGCTGCCTGCTGAGAGGACTCCCTCTTGTCTGAGAGGACTCCCCACAGGGTTGGCTGAAAAAGCTCTGTGATCAAATCTAAGCAGAATTTTGGCACAGGGCATTTTCAGGCAGTCCCCAAAGCTACATGGGGCGTTTAGTGCACATAGCTTTGGGGGTTCCTGAAAAAACTTCATGCCAAAAATCCAAGCAGGATTTCGGCATGGGGTGTTTAGTGCATGGAGCTTTGGGGACTGCTTGAAAATGCCCTGTGCTGAAATCCTGTTTGGATTTTCAGCCACAGAGGATTTTCAGCCCTAGAGTGGAGAAGCTTCAAAAGCCTCTCTATTTCGGGGGTGGAAAACCGAGGGGGTTCGGGGGCCTCGCCCCCCCCATCTGCACTGCACCCCAGCGCACCTGACCTGACTTTCCTACACACTCCGTGCACCCTCTCACTCCCTCCTCCACCCGGCAGTGCCTGGGGCTTGCAAATTCCTGCCAGCTTCCCCACTGACTTGATTGTGGGAAGCTGGCAGGAAGTGCCTCGCCTAATGACTGGGGCATTCACTTAACAATGGCAACTGGGACTGCTGGGATTGTGGTCGCTCAGCAATGCCTGTTTTGCCTAACGACTGCATCACTTAGTAACAGAAGTTCCAGCCCCAATTGTGGTTGTTAGGTGAGGACTATCTGTATTCTTTCTGTACTTGTTTTGTGGATGATACTGAATTGTAGAAGGGCAGTCACATTTTTAGCCCTGAGAAGCAATGCAGTCATGGGCCTGGAAAATATGGAATTGGGTTTTTTTCAGGATCCCTAGGCATTTGAATCTAAATCCCTATTTGAGAACATACAGATCATGGACATGAGTATGTTTAATAGGGACCCAGGATCCAAGAAGTCAAAGCTAAGAGATCAATTTATGCCACACAAGGGGCTCCACTGCCAGAAACCTTTTCTTTTGGCCTGAGACTTGTCCGTCAAGCAGCTAAACGTAAACGCTCCTTCAAACCAAACTGGGAGATTATATGGCCTGCCTGCCTGCCTGCCTGCCTGCCTGCCTGCCTGCCTGCCTGCCTGCCTGCCTTC